CTTTGTGCTCGTCCATTCAGGTGTGTTTGTTAAGTAATGCCCCCTTTGTGCTTGTCCAATCAGGTGTGTTTGTTAAGTAACGCCCTTTTTGTGCTCGTCCAATCAGGTGTGTTTAAGTAACGCCCCTCTTTGTGCTCGTCCAATCAGGTGTGTTTGTCAAATAACGCCCCTCTTCGTGCTCGTCAAATCAGGTGTGCTTGTTAAGTAACGCCCCTCTTTGTGCTCATCCAATCAGGTGTGTTTGTTAAGTAACGCCCCCCTTTGTGCTCGTCCAATCAGGTGTGTTTGTTAAGTAACACCCTTTTTTGTGCTCGTCCAATCAGGTGGATAAGTAACGCCCCTCTTTGTGCTTGTCCAATCAGGTGTGTTTGTTAAGTTACGCCCCTCTTTGTGCTCGTCCAATCAGGTGTATTTGTTAAGTAACGCCCCTCTTTGTGCTCGTCCAATCAGGTGTGTTTGTTAAATAACGCCCCTCTTTGTGCTCGTCCAATCAGGTGTGTTTTTTAAGTAACGCCCCCCTTTGTGCTCGTCCAATCAGGTGTGTTTGTTAAGTAACGCCCTTTTTTGTGCTCGTCCAATCAGGTGTATTAGTAACGCTCCTCTTTGTGCTCGTCCAATCAGGTGTGTTTGTTAAGTAACGCCCCTCTTTGTGCTCGTCCAATCAGGTGTGTTTGTTAAGTAATGCCCCTCTTTGTGCTCGTCCAATCAGGTGTGTTTGTTAAGTAACGCCCTTTTTTGTGCTCGTCCAATCAGGTGTATAAGTAACGCCCCTCTTTGTGCTCGTCCAATCAGGTGTATTTGTTAAGTAACGCCCCTCTTTGTGCTTGTCCAATCAGGTGTGTTTGTTAAGTAATGCCCCTCTTTGTGCTCGTCCAATCAGGTGTGTTTGTTAAGTAATGCCCCCCTTTGTGCTCGTCCAATCAGGTGTGTTTTTTAAGTAACGCCCCCCTTTGTGCTCGTCCAATCCGGTGTGTTTGTTAAGTAATGCCCCTCTTTGTGCTCGTCCAATCAGGTGTGTTTGTTAAGTAACGCCCCCCTTTGTGCTCGTCCAATCCGGTGTGTCTGTTATGAACCTCCTTCCCTTGGAAACACCTCGTCGTCTGCAGAGAACCGCTGCTCGAGTGTTTGGGTTTATAAAGGAAAGAGGTGGATATACAGTATATGAATGCACAGAACTCTTCTTCAGTTTTATACTCTTAAATTATTTCACTGAAGTCCTCCTCATGTTTTAAACCTGGTGAATTACTGCAGAGTTTTTAACTGATAAAAACATCCTGAATGTTTAGAGAAAAAAGCCAAACAGTAAGAAATAAAAACATGTTGAATCATTTTATAAAACTTCTGTAAAAACAAACATTATTTCATGAGAAATGACTCAAAGGTCCTGTGGTCCATTCTTCTAGCCTCACCCTCTTTTGGAGCAGAATTGGTAGAACTTCTTACATGTAGCCTGCAGCAGACGCAGACCTCCCAGATATCTGCCATGAATAACAAAGCCGTGTTAAAATCCTGAATCTGAGCAACAACAAGGTGTGATTTAACTGGTGACTCACCCCTCCTGCCTGCTGATACAGAACAGGTCCTGAAGACTGCCAAATTCTGTCGGGTCATTCAGTGGGTGAGGGACCAAGACCTAAAAACATCCTAATTTTAGGAGCAAATCTCTCCCATGAGAGTGATATATGCAGGTAGTGTGTGCGCAGACACGTGTGTTACCAAAGTCTGGCTCTCCAGCAGAGTAACCTCAGCCCAGAAGTTAGAGATGGTCATAGCTATAGTTTTCCCATTGAAGCCGTCTGAGGGGTTTCCTATTAATCCCACCCTGTGAGTCAACAGAACGTTTACAGAAAGGCTAAGCTGAGCTCCAAGCTGCCTCAGAGTCCATGCTGTCTTACCTGGCGTATGAACGACACATGATTGGTTCACTGCAGTTCTCTTGCTTCTTGTTGGAGTAATGACTGAGCCACTTTGTGTAGTCTGACAGGCCCTGATGTAAAACACAATAAAAGATAATTCTTTTTAAAGAGACAATATCATGTAAAAATCAACTTTTTTGAGTTTTATATCATGTTATAATTATGATTTGTGTCTGTTAATGTTTTATTTTAGTTTCTGTCTTGTCATCTGTTTTCTTCCTCCTGTTTGACTTTGCTCCAGCCCCGCCCACTCTCACCTGTTCCTCATGTTTCTCTCCCAGGTGTTTCCTGTTTGTGCTCGTTAGTCTCACCTTTATTTTCTGTGTCTTGTCTTCACTTCCCTGTGATCATTGTGCTGTTCACAGCCTGTATGTATGTTGCCTTGCCTTGCCTTGCCACGCCACGCCACGCCACGCCACGCCACGCCACGCCACGCCACGCCACACCCCGCCTAGTGTGTTTTTGAGCTGCCCTGTCAGCAATTTTTGTTTAATAAATCTTTATTTTTTCCTTTTTGAAGCTGCCTGCACCCTGGGTTCATTTTTGCCAATTCATAACAGAATGATCAGACAAACCACTGAACCCAGCAGGCAGTTTTTCTCTTCTCCACCCACAACTTGTACCTTGTCAGCTTCTCCCCTCTCAAAGATCCTGGGGCTCCTGGAGGGGATGCAGGGTGAACTAGCTGGCCTTAGGGGACTCTTCGCTTCAAGGTGCCCTTCAGAGCTGGTGGCGCCAGGGGTTTCTGAAGCCCAACCTCCCCACCCCTCTGATTTGGACCCTCCAGCTCTGGTTCCTGTGGGCCCTCCAGCTCCGGCTCTGGTTCCTGCTGGTCCTGCTCCATCTCTTGCTCCTGCTGGTCCTGCTCCGGCTTTGGTACCTCCGGGCCGTCCAATTCTGGTTCCTGTGGGCTCTCCAGCTCTTGTTGGGCCTCCTGCTGAGTCCTCTGCTCCTGAGGATCCTGGTTCGGCTGCTGTCGCGTCTTCATCTCCTGTCGCCTTTGGTCACCATCGCCAAGGCTCTGCCTCCCTTGGCTCTACGTCTGCTCCTGCCTCCTCCCTCTGGCTCCACGTCTACTCCTGCCTCCTCCCTCGGCTCCACATCTGCTCCTGCCGCCTCCCTCGGCTCCACGTCTGCTCCTGCCTCCTCACTCGGCTCCACGTCTGCTCCTGCCTCCTCACTCGGCTCCACGTCTGCTCCTGCCTCCTCACTCGGCTCCACGTCTGCTCCTGCCTCCTCCCTCTGGCTCCACGTCTGCTCCTGCCTCCTCCCTCTGGCTCTACGTCTGTTCCTGCCTCCTCCCTCTGGCTCTACGTCTGCTCCTGCCTCCTCCCTCTGGCTCTGCTCAGTTCCTGGGGCCTCATCGGACATGGAGTGGGGGTCTCCAGGTCTTCCTCCTGACATTGGCCTCTGCAGCAGGGAGGTTCATGGCCGGCCTCCTGAACTTTTGTTTTTGGGACGTCAGGAGCCGTCCCTTATTGGGGGGCTATGTTATGATTGTTGTCTGTGTTAATGTTTTATTTTAGTTTCTGTCTTGTCATCTGTTTTCTTCCTCCTGTTTGACTTTGCTCCAGCCTCGCCCACTCTTACCTGCTCCTCATGTTTCTCTCCCAGGTGTTTCCTGTTTGTGCTCGTTAGTCTCACCTTTATATTCTGTGTCTTGTCTTCACTTCCCTGTCTGATCATTGTGCTGTTCTCAGTTTGTTTGTTTGTTGCCTTGCCTTGCTACATCTAGTGAGTTTTTGAGCTGCCCCGTCAGCAATTTTTGTTTAATACATCTTTATTTTTTCCTTTTTGAAGCTGCCTGCACCCTGGGTTCATTTTTGCCAATTTGTAACAATAATGTTATACTCTCATAAAAACATGCCCAAAGCCTTGATCTGACTCATTCATCATGTTTGAGAAATCCTGCAGTGTTTTTATGAAGCCATGCTGAGGAGCAAAACAACAGGTGGGGACCAGAAACACCTTTTGGTACCAGAAACACCTCTGGGACGTGTCTTTAAGCCGAACTTTCTCATGGCTCAGTTTGGTTGATTGGCCTTTCATTTTTGCACGCACCTTTCATTGCCCCTTGAGACACCTGGGGCACCCCTCCCACTGTGGTAAATGTCACTGCACAGGATTTCTTCCCACTGGAGTCTACACGTTTTGTTTTTTGTTTTTTTGTGCAAAACAAGCTTTTTTCAATGGTTTAAGTTTAAAATTAAATGTTGCAAAAAGCAACTCTTGGACAATTCATTTTGTGAAAGTAGCCCTTAAGGAAACAAAGGTTTGAGAGCCCTGGTCTGGCTGATTTAATCTGTAAAATAATCCCTGGTTCTTCAGGTTTCTGAAGGTAACTTGTGTGTTCTTCTCAGCTGTTTTGTTTCTACATGAGCTGTTATATGATGCAGAGGATGTTTCATGATAAAAGTATCATTTATCACAGGACTCTGACAAAAATAACATCAATGACAGAGAACGTCTCCCACCCAATGCATGGAACTGTGGCTGATCTGCAGAGCTCCTTCAGTGACAGACTGCTGCATCCTAAATACACAAAGGAGCGTTACCGCAGATCCTTCCTCCCATCAGCTCTACAACAATCACTGCTCCCAACAATCATAAGTATCCATGTTTGTGCTTACACTCCAAACAACTCTACCTGCCAATCATTATATAAATAATAACTAGCGGCAATTGAACATCGTTTTTCCTGTACTGGACTTAATGACTGAGTTTGAATCAATCTGCACACCCCTCAGATCATGAGTCTGTCATGACTGTTTTTTACTGTAATTTGGTATTTTTCTGCACAGTATTTTTATCTAATTTCATCTTGATAGTGCAGTACAGTAATTATTATACTTATTTTTATTTTGATCTATGTTTATTTTTATTGTTGCTATCTTTAATTCTATTATCATTGCTACAGCTGATAATGTCACATACCAATGTACTGTTTCTGTTGATTGATGTATGTATCTGCTGCTGCTATTACACCTGAATTTCCCCACATGGGACAATAAAGTATGTTTCTATTCTATTCTATTCTATTCTATTCTATTCTATTCTATTCTATTCTATTCTATTCTATTCTATTCTATTCTATTCTATATGATGCAGTCAGATTAGCTACCTGGTGCTCAGTGTGGAAATAGAAAACAAAAGGATAACAAAGTTTCTGTTCTGATCTATGTACTTTCATAAAATACTGAATTTTAGTTTTATTAATCCTAAGAATTTAGTAAAATGCTCTTCAAATGTCTGTAAAATGCAGAGTTTTGAGTAGATCAAAACTCTGAAGGAACCTCTGGAACTCTCTACTGCCAGACCTACGAAATATCACCTCTCCTCTGTTCAAGACTGCTCTGAAAACACATCTCTTTACATTAGATTATTCTTCATAACCTTGTTTTTTGTATTTTCTATTTTTTTATTTTGTGCCTGTTGGTCCTTGCACTGTATTTGTTTTTACAGAATGCTACCTGATGTTCTTCTGCTGTGTAGTGTCTTTTGG